AACTTCTTCCATAGACATAGGATTAGTGTTTTCATAGTTGGTGCTTGTGATGCATAAAATTTCTACCCTAAAAATGTTGACAAGTTGTGAGCTCTCAATTATATTCTAAAATTTAAATTTTCGTTATTTTTTAATTTTATAATAATTAAATATGTTAGATTAGGATTTATATAAGTAGAATTTAGTTTTATAGAATTTTTAGGATTACAACCCTTGATGGTATAAATTATAGCCTAATTCCTTGAATTATGTTAATTAGGACTAAAGTGATAAGAGTTAAAAAATTAGAATAGCAACTTAGTTAGTTTAATAATTTAGAGGTTATTAGTCATTACTATAAGGGTTGACTAAAAGCCTATGAGTGCATCCATAATCATTCACATGATTTAGGAGTTGGAATTATAATTCTCTAAAAGATTTAGGGAAGTTAGCAATGATAATTTTGGATTTTCCTCCAAATTCAACAAATTCAAGCGGTATGGTGGTTCTTCTACTTAAAAGGAGACTTTTTAATGCAATGGTGGCACCGGATATACCTCGTGGAGTGAAGAAAACGAGATCAGCAACCTCTCCTTCAAAATACAAGAAAAGCAATGAAATTCTCATTTCGCGAAAATTTTCACAAAAATTGCCAAGATCCTTGTAAGTAAAAACTTCCATAAAAATTATAATTGAGCATGGATTGAGGCATGTGAGTAGTCGATCTTAGCTTAAAAAGGTGTTTTGAATACAATAGTGAAGTTAGATTTATAAAAAAAATGCTTTCTTGGCCATTTACAAGAGCCATTAGCCTTGGTGACGAGATTGGCTCTTGGATGAATGAAGGTTGTAGATCTAGATTAGGGATCTTAAAAATCAAGGGTGGAGATGTAGCCAACCTTCTACAAGCCTCCACTCAATTGTATAATAGAGGCTTGGCTTTCCAAGCCCTCTCTCTCTCCTCTTTTGGGTGAAGGGCAGAGTCATGCCAAAATTTGGCCGAAATCCTAATCTTAATTTTTTTTAGATTTTAATTCTCATTGTGAACCTTGTGATTGTGTATGTATGGATTTTTCATTGTGAAGGATGGTCATTAAGTTTTAAAATATGTTTCATTGAGGTAGATATCTCCTCGGCCTTTCAAATACCCCAAGGGTTTCAAGGGCCTTGGATTTTCTTCAATCAGTCACTCAATTTCTGTTGTTTCAAAGTGAGATTCTGAAGGGTTGTAGATTTTGTTGTTAGCTTTTTAACAAGATAAGACTTGCTTGATTTGGAGTAAGAAAGAATTTTTGGTGAATTTTTGAGTTTGAGGGAGTCGACTGCCTTTGCAGTTTGAATCAATCGAGTTTGGAAAGGCATTTCTCAGTGCCTGATAATTGGCTTTATTTGAAATTTTGGGAGAAGCAAGATTTATAAGCTAAGCTCTAAAAGGCACAAGTTTTGTTGAATTTAAAGACAATCTGAATTTTTAGTGAATTTCTAAGTGAAGAGGATTGGTCACCACGGCAGTTTGGATCACTCAACTTCAAAGGAAGAATTCTCACGACTAAGTCATTATATTGCAACAAGAATTATTGGATCAAAAGCATCTTTAAGTCAGCCTTGCAATAAGCTAAGAATCATTCAAATTGAAGCCGATTATAAACTTTGGCAAATTTTGGAGTGGAAGGAGGTTGCTGCCTTCAATCCTTACATGTTGTCAAGGTACCTTCACTTTCACCTCTCTCACTTTATTTTTACTATCATCTTCACAGTGACTTGTAAGCTCCACATTTCACTTCTTGGCTAATAAATTTTAAGTTTAACTTTTAACCTTTTTATTCTCACTTTAACTTTTAACTTTAACTTTTAAATTGAACTTTTAATTTTAACTTTTCACTTAACCTTTAATCTTAACTTTTAACTTAACTTTTTTTTTACTTAAGCTTTGAATTTTAACTTTAACTTAACCTTTTAATTTCAACTTTTAACTTAATCTTTTAATCTTAATTTTTAACTTTAACTTTTTAAACTTAACTTTTAACTTAGCTTTTAATTCAAACTTAAGTTTTTATTCTTATGGTCAATTAATAGTAATAATTTAGTTAATTATTTTTATTGTGTTTGCATAGTAAATTTCATTTAACATGTTAATTTAATACTGGTAACCATTGCTTGGAAGGTCTAATACTAATTGAATTTTTAATATAAGATTTAAATTAATTTAACAATTACACAATTGGGAGCTCTCCAATTCCACCTTTTGGACTTGTTGTGTGGCATAGGTTTCATCAAGTAGTGAAATTTGACCTCACACAAGTTCATGAAGATCAACAATAGTTGCAAATCTATTCTCACTTTCACCAAGTGTAGTATCCATGATTTTTCCTCCTATTTCAAACAACTTAATAAATCCACAAGTCAAATTAGATGAGAGTAATTTATAACTTCTAATATCAAATGAAAATTTCTACAAAGATAGATAATCTACTCTTATAAAAAAAATATCAATGTTAGAAAATTAAAAAAATATCAATGTTAGAGAATTAAAAAAATTGTTTAAAGGTGGGTAATTCACAACCTTCAAAATACAATAGTAGAAGTGACATAATCTACTCACTTTTAAAATAAGACAACAACAATGAATTAGCACTTTTGTCAAATTATCAAGGGTATTTTTTTTTTAAGAACTAAAAGATCAAGACACTCTTGTGTCATTCAAAAAAAATAAATAATTACTCAAAGTTGATATAATATTAAACTAGAATGGATATTATCAAAGTCAACAACACTAGAAAGTCTTGAAAACAAGACTAAGGACTAAACAAGCATTGATAAGAGTGATGAAGGCTTCACTCTTGTCTCTATATATACTCTTAATTAGGAGCTATGTGACAATGTCCTATATGACCTCCAAAAAGTATTGACTTTGTAAGATACATATTTTAACTTATAAGACAAGTTTTTTATATGTGCACCACATAATTAGCTTATTCCACAAGCTACCAACATGTGGTTAACTTGTTGACAAAGTTTCTAACCTATTAATCAACTACAAATACATATAAAATCAAAGCACTATCTATAAAATATTATGAAATAAATCTATTTTTACCTACTTCTACTTAATCATAGAAATAAATATTATTGTAAATATGTATATTTGTGACATCCATCCAATACAAACTCCAAATGTATTTTATTAACATCAAATAATTTAAATCAAATAGATTATGAAGCATAAATTTTTCTTATAAATTAAACAACTCGCAATCTATTTTTTTACAAAATATTTAATGTGTCCTTTTCAACCACCAATCTTTTTTAAAGCAAAGAAAGGAAAAAATGTGCAAAAAAAGAAGACATATTATTAGCTTATTGTATCCGAGGAGGACACATTGAGTGTAGTAATATCAATCAATGATATAACATTTAATAATTACCTATGTATATAGAGATATATATATATATATATGCATTATAGTAGGCATTTATAATTATTACTTTCTTTGGATGTAATTGAAGAAATTGACAATAAATTGGGTAATGAAAGATACAAAAGTAATTTTGCTTTAGTTGAATGGTATGAGGCTTGTGCTTCTCTAACTGATAAAATTGAGAGTAAACTAGAGCTTTTTGCATTTATTTTTTTATAAATAATAATTTTTTATTTTAGAAAAATTATTTGATGTTAATAAAATACATATGCAATAGTTCTAAAGATTATCAAATGTGCTTCAACAAAAACCAAGCTTATATTAGTATGGATTCATGTTGGTCAAAGATTTTTTTTTTTTAATTTTTTTTTAATAATGTATAGACGAAGGATTTTATAATAAATACCTAAGGTATCTGACCAATCTATTTTTTTCAAAAAAAACTACATGATTGACAAGGTGGTGCTGCATAATTAGTTGACAAAATCCTTGAATATATTGACTAATAATCATTACATATATTATATTCATATACTTATTCTCAATAATAATTTTCACTCTTCAACCTCAACATTTCTGACCAAAAGGACCATTTGTTAAATTAATAATCACACTTTCACTAACATTAATCATTAAAATCCACCCAACACAAACTCCAACATCTCTATCCCAAAGTCTCAACATTGCAATCCTCTTTGCACCCCAATATTCCAACTTGCCTATATCACATTAATCCACTCCATTCAAAATCATCCTCACTCCAAATCATAGACAAAAACCAGCATTCACAAAGAACAAAAATAAAAGAAACAAGAATTCAAGACACACACACACACACACACACACATAATCCTTGCAAAAAAGTACTTTTTTGCATTCAAAAGGGGGTAAACTGTAAGCTCTATGAAACTTTATTTTTATTATTGTTATTATTAAATAATTTTTCGATGAGTATATGAAGGGAAAATAGCTCTTTACAGAGCAAGAAGGGAATGAAGAGTGTGTGTGAGAGAGAGTGCCTGGATCAAGGAGGAGGAGGCGCACGGGAAAACCTCGCAAATGAGCTAGCAATTCTCGCGATGGCGAGTCAGCCATGCGACGACGATCGGGGGAGAGAGTCAAAGCGGGGCCCCACTCCCTCCTCCTCTTCGCGCAGGATTTCAACGCAACTACTTCCCTGTCCCCCCATGCAATCAGTTTTGTTTTTTGTTACAAAAAAAGACCCGTAGGATTGCTTGTAATCGGCGATGGGTCGCTACCACCAGACCAGGGCGAAGCTCCAGAGCTGCGCCGGGTCTGATTGAGCCCACGGAAAATCATTCCTGTGCGTTGGGTTTTCAACGGCTTGGGGGGGGGGGGGGGGGGGGATCTAGACAATGTTTTTTCGGCTGTCGATCCATGGCGTATCGACGATGGCCTTCCGATTTGTGTAGCTGGAGAGTCTTTTTGTTTCCCGGTGAGGACAGAATATTATATCTTTGGGTGCCAGCCCTAGTCAATCATTGTGCATACCGCTCGGCCTACTGATTGCCTGCATGTTGCGTCTCTGGCAGTCCAAGCTTGTGTCGGAATCTTCCTCCAAGCCCGCCGGGTCTCTGAATTATGTGAGCAATCATCCTCGCTGGAAGGTGTCCGAGTCCCAGTTGTCTGTATTATGCTGGTTTTGGTCTGTCTTAGCTCTGCCCGGAGCTTGTCGCGTCGGATGCGCCCTGCTGTCGATCTGCCGTCCGGGGTGGTGAATCCTGCACGAATCGCTTGACCGATTTCTATTTTTTGGACATGAGCTCTGTGCTATGCTTCCGAGGGAATGAGCTCGCATGTGCGTACCAATTTTCTTTCCTCCGAGAGCAATTGTGTTGCTGCAGTGTTTTGCACTGCAATAGAAGGTAAAGCCTCCGTTTGCCTGCGCTATCGGGTGAATCCTTGAGTGCTTAGTGTTTGTGAAGCTAATTGCTCTGCTCCCTGTTCATTCAAGCGTGTGTTGAGATTTGACCCACTAACTTGAACCACATGAAGCGAACAAACCTGGTGTGTTTAATGTTAGCTTCACCCTGGAGAACGCATTCGGATGAATGTTGTGGAATCTTAGAAGCAAACGCAACCCTCCTGCGCCTAAACTATTAATACGTCGTTAGAGTATCTCCGCATGGAATGATTGATGAATTGTTCCCAGCCTTGTGCAATACTTTCCTTTTGGATGACGCGGGGCTACAGTACTGTCCTCTTCGTTTTCAGTGACTCTTAGCAACCGTTTTGTTACTTCTCTACCTTTCTGTCTAGCACATGTTGCCTTGTGTTATCAAAATTTGGTTGCTAGTTTATCCGTCTTGTGGTCGCTAATTCTAAAGGTGATAACTTCCATGTGGAACACGGATCAATTGTTGCTTTGAGAACTGCCCTTGCGAATCCTCTGACACTGTTGAACCCTTCCTGATCGCGTTTTCAGGGCAGGTGCGCAACGTTTAGAAGGAACTATTTAACTGGGCCAGAGAAGTTGAGCTATATCGCATCCTCCCAAAAGAGGGTGGAGGAGGTAGAATTTTAGAATCGCTGCGTCTGGTTGAACGCAGAGATTTCAAAAGCTTTGCTGCGATGAGGAAGAGAAGGATGAGTGCTGTGGCACTTCTTACTGTAGCAGTGTTGCACATGTGCTTGATACTTGCGGAAGCACAAACATACAACGTAAACACAACTTACAGGCTAGGTTTTCTGTCGCCTTCACCAGATTCACTCATCCCCACCAGCTTGGCCAATGAATGGTGAGTCCTATCAAGATCATGATTCATCTGACATTCATCAATAAAGTATGACAAGCTTGCACGCGACTGATTGTTTGTGTCTAAGTTCTATTGATGTGCTCTCCTTTGTGTAAAGCTTACCCTGATGCTCTTTCCAGCATCCTTTTAGAAGTTGCAACATCCAATCGAGTTTTGTCTGTGCTTGTGGGTGACTTTCCAGGAATTCTGCATTCATGGTGGCCATGGAAGTTCTCAACTCAGAGGACAGATCGTATAATTTTATTCCGAGCATAGAAAATACAGAATGTGATTGGCAGTGTGGGCAGCATGCCACTGAGCAGCTTACTAAGCCACAAATAGTTCCTGCTTTGATCGGTGCAGTAGGCCCTGCTTGCACAGATGCAGCTATGTCCTCTGGTCGAGTCTTCAGGGAAAGGAATTATTCACACATCTCATTTGCTGCCACTTCAGTTAAGCTCTCAAGCCGGGTTGCCTTCCCAATGACTTTTCGAACAGTGTAAGCGTACCGAAATGATCAACTTTGCTTTGCCCACTGAGCAGACTGTTGACGTCTCATTCACTAAAATGGATGGACATGATTCTCATGTTTCTGTAGCTGCGTCAGCGATATCTACGTTGTAGCTTTTCATTAGCTTAACATGAGTCATCAGTGGTAATTCAATCAATTTCGAGCAAGACTGGATCAGACGTATATTGATTGAGCAAGCTGTCTGATATTCCTGATTGACCTGCTCCTGCTTTTTTATTGCAGTTTCAGTGATGAGTATCAGGCAGCAGCCATTGCAGCCAGTGTAAGTGTGTCCCATTTCATGTCTCGACCGTCCAAAGTTGGTGTTTGCCAATGTATGATTAGAATAGGTTATGCTTCTAACGATGTGACGTGGGTATCATTAGCCCAGACATATAATAAGATTGTATTTTGCTGTGTGCTGCTTCACTTACATGGACTTGAACACAGGTGGCGGAAATGGGAATCAAACGTCTCCATGTTTTGACAGTAAAGAGTTATTACAGCATGAATCTGGGTTCAGAAATAAATGCGGTTAGTACCTCGACACAGGATATTTTGTAACTATGTCCTCAGTTGCGCACGAAAACTCGTTGAAGCAGGCTATGTATGAAAGAGGCCACACGATCAAAAGGATGATTCCCTGTGGTGTGGTTCTTCACACGTTGAATCGGTTTACTTCTGGTAATTAATGACATCAGCCCCAAAGCAGCCTTGGTGATATCACAAGTGTCGTTGATTGTTTGCAGGCGGTGGGTTCATTAGCAAATACAACGGTTTACACTATATCATCTGGAGAGAAATCGATGATCAACGAGACTCAGCTTGCAGCCATCCTAGAGACGGTTGAAACGGAAGACTTCATTGTCATGGCGGTGCATCCAATACTGGCTCAGGAGATTTGGAAGGTTGCTTATAAATTGGTATGAAGTGTACCCTTCATCAGATTTCAATCTCCAAGACAGGCTTTCTGCAGATCTCTCTTGCAATGAAGATAGAATGTTTGATTAACTGGAATCTGCAAAATCCTTTCTACATTGCAACGATTACAGCGTCAGTTGCAGTGTAATAGACAATCTGCCGAGTTTTACATTGAATAGGATTCTCCCAGCATTGAGACTATGAATTGGACTTTTTTGTAGTCTTAAACTTATTTGTTTTTCTCCAGGACAAATTGAGGTGGCCATTTTGGTACTTCGGTACGGACGGAGTTACTGCTTTTGATCCTGCAGATGTGAATGTAACAGGTTTGGTTCTTTCCTCCTGCAAGGCATGTGACTAGCAAGGATGAGAGTCAGGGCTGCACTTGACTTCTTCATTCCTAATCCGAGGGAGTTAATGATTTGATACCTACATTGAATTCTCAACAGTTTTTGCCTCATTGCAGATCCCAAGTTGGTAAACGCAATACAAGGAGAAATTGGAGTTTCTCCACATGGTACGTAATGCACACAATGACAGGAGCATTTGATATTTCCCCTTTTTGCAGAAATCCCGTGAAGGATCTGTTTTTCTTACAAGTAGAGGAAAGTGATCAATGTAGGGGGACACAATGTGGAAATTGTGATTTACTGAGAGAGACTACAAAATAGCGCAAAACCAATGTGCTACTCGTGATGAAAGTAAACTCGGGATTATTCTTTACCATTGGCTCAGGTGGCGATATCCTCACCACCGGCCCATGCGCGAAGTTCTACTCTTATTGGAAATCTAAAAAGTATCCAGGCTCTCCTTCAGAAGGCAAAACCAGAACGCGTTCTTACGTCCCCCACCTAATTGATGCTGTGCAAACTTACTTCATTATTGTCGATAACCTCATCAAGGCGAAGGCTAATGTCACCAAAGACAATGTTATTAAAGCACTCAACGGATCCGGGCCAGGAGTTATTGAGTTTGAGGGTTGTAGTGGCAACGTCTCGTTTGATCCTGCTTCTGGAAGCCGAAGCATAGCGACTCAGGCTCCTCATTACGATCTCGTCTTACTGACACAGGCACTCTGGGAGGTTGGTCTCAAATAACCCTCATATGATTCTCCGACTTGTACATACTTCTGAGCCGAATTCGTAGAAAAGCTTGTGTGATGTTCCTCTCTGCTCATGCTGAACAAAAGCTGGCACCTAGCATTTCGAGGTCAGTTTTGAACATTACTTTGTTTGCAGGTCAAGGGTGAGATAAAGAATGGAACTTTGCTCGGTTTGCAAGTGCTTACACGACCTGGGAGCGGTCTGAATTCGGTACTCTAGTCTTCCTTTTTCCCAAATTGCAATCGATGGATCAATCTTCCAGTTGTCATGGTCGTAAAGTTGATGATAAGTCCACCAAATTAGATCAGCGTTGTATCATTACAAACCTAAACCTGCGAGTAGATCAGTGATCAGATTGACCGATAACTTGTGTAAAGTATCCTGATACTAAGATGCCACCACTTTGTGCAGATTTACTTAGGACCAGAAGGGCTGTCGAGCAAGGCGAAAGTAGGCATCATTGTTGGCACCTTATTTGGCGCAGTGGCTGTGCTGTTTGTGGCCGGGAGTGCCTTGTATTTGTACAGACGGAAACGAACTGGCCGTCCTCTCGCTAGGTCTGAATCCATGCGAAGAATGATGGATTTCGTAGGAACAGGCAGTTTTGGAAGTTCTGATAGTTTTGAGATCGGTGAAGAGCGGGGTTAGTTAAATTGAATAGATCTAGTCATAGAGGGAGTGTGCTTGCGAATTCACAGTCCGGCGTTATGGGCCAGTGTGGGCTATTTATAGCTAGAGTGGAGTAGAGTATGTTCACTTGCACGGCTATATGTGATTAAGATGAAATCTGTCATGAGAACGAGAATATTGCATTGTTATTCAAAAGATTTTTCTCGTTGAGGGTGGATTGCCACGTTCAAGATTGGACCGATCGAAAAAATAGGTTACTGAGACATATTCATGTATGATTTGTGACCCACAGCAAAGTACTTTCAGAAGAAGTTGAATACACTCGTTTATTTTAAAAACGAACATATGTCATTATTAAGGTTAATAAACAGTACTTCAGACAGATCGATTGGGAGTCAACTGTGAGGGATGGGTGTAGTTCAGATTTTTAGATTGGGCAAGAGTATCCCGAGAATGATAGACCCTACAACTGAAACCTTAGACTCAGATTTAAAAGAAGATACAATACCAGCAAGAATGATAGGCAAATGCAACTTCAAGAGACTGCTATTGAAAAAAGGACGAGTTCAATAAGATATCCCAACAGGAAGAGAAGATTTGAGGGTGTTCCAAACTTAAATTCTTTACAAATCAGCGAACAGTACACTTTACAGACCAGCAGTGGCCTTAAGTCCTAGAACAATTCCTACACCGATCACGTGTCCCAAAGCGCCACAGGCCAGGGTGTCGGTTGCTGTGAATCCAGCGGGGTCACCAGTTTGAAGGCCAGAATCTCTGTCGACAAGCTTCAGTCCAGCGGTTGATTTCCTGTTGGCTGAAGGGGCAAGGCCAAATCTTCCAGCGAACAGCATCAAAGTGGTCGAAGCAACCATGATCTGCAACATCGCACATTGAAATCCCGTCAGATAGGTTTCATTATATGCACATAGAAGAACACATGATCCGACAGATATCCACAGCGAGACCAGCGAAAGTGGGAGCATCTGACAACCTAGAATGCGGATTTGTTTCTCGGCGAATCACGCTGAAGATTAACACTACACTCACGCACACTCAGTAGGAGTGAGTCATCGACTCCTGGAAACTACCAGCTCTTACGTCAAAAACAAACATTGCGCATCCCGAGTTAATCAACTTTCCATCACAGTATTAGTCAAGAATGGTCAATACCAGGTTCGTGGATGATCCAATGTAGTCACAGCGGGCACCCAAAGCACCCTTTCCGGCGGTCTTCCTCAAAGCCTACATTCCAAAGTACTTCCCAGTAAGACAGCAATCGCAGGTGATTAATCAAACTCAGGATGATAAAGCAACATGCAGCTGTAAATCGAGACAATTCCCAAAGTATAATCCTGTAGGTTACTCACTGACGCAACAATTTATAAACTACATGAACTTCCTACAGCCCCCCACACTCGGCTGCCTGGAACTGAACCAGTCCATGCATGAAAACCCAGTAAGGCAATAATGGTGACACTCGAACCCATTTGAGACCCACAAGTTCCACAGCGACCCAGCTCGCAAAATCACGTACCAAGCTTGGGAGGGGCTTGCTGAAGCTGCTGGTGGTGGCCTTGAGGCCTTCGAACTGGCGCACGGTGGCGACAGACATCGTGGTGGCCATGGCTGCCATTGGAGATGGATTCCGCCGCACAAACAAGTTCGAAACGGTATGGAGACGGGATGCAGAGGCGGAAGAAGAAGAAGAAGAAGAAGAGAGCTAGAATGCGCTGCGGGGAACGGCGAAGCGAGGATCGGCACTCTTGTTGCCGTCGTCGAGATAGCGATGTGGATTATGGGGGCCCGTGGGCCAATCGCCATAGCCGCGACCTTCGAGCACCACCCACACACACACTCTGCCCCAAATCCCCCCCCCCTTCAGATAAGGCCCCGCGCCTTTTTCTGCAGACCTGGACCCGGTGGGAAGGGTGAGGAGTCTCCTCAACCAATGGGATGATGCCCTGGGTGCCAGCTCAGTGCCAGCTCGTCCTGTCTTCCTGCTGCGTGGATCGTGAAGTAAAGTTTTATTGCACCTGGTTTTGGTGGTATTGGACTGCGAGTAAGTTAAATGGCTTTGAATTCAATGTTTATTCCACGCTTTACAATGTGAATCACAATGCATGTGTTGTAACCCAGAATTTTGAAACCATGTTTTTAATGATACCACGAAAAAAGTAGAGAGAATGTGTATGTGTGTGCGATGTGTGTGCGATTAACATTCCCATATATATGTATATATATATATATATATATATATATGGGAATGTTAAATAGACCAAAGTTTTTACTAAATCAACCCAACAGTGGGTCTATTTAATATTACCCTATATATATATATATATATATATTTATATATAGAAACGAAAGGGAACAAACTATACCCATATACTGAATATTTTATCTTTGATAGAATTTTGGATCAAAGATAGAATTTTGGATCATATGTCCAAAAATCAAGTAGTTATTGAAATGACTAGTGACAAGTGTTTGGTATTACTTTTGATGCTTTGCAAAAAAAACTGGTGTAAATTGAAGAAAAAAAAGAAAAAAAAAAAAAAAAACTAACAAATTGTGCTTGTGATTGCTTGCAATTTTTATTTTTTTATTATTTTATTTTTGATTTTATGTCAAGACATTGAATGCGTCTTCTTTTATCTGTTTATAATTCCATCTCCAATTTAAGGGTTCTTAAATATTGGATGAATCACTCAATTTATTGTTTTTAAATCTTAAAATTATTGAAAATTTTGAATATTCATTAATATAAACTTAAGATAAAATCTTTCACTTGCATTATGAAAAAAAATAATAAATAAATAAATAAATAAAAATAAGCTCCTTATTGAAAATCCACATTGACAATTTTCACATTTGTTTTTAAAAAATTCCATGAATGTATTGTTGTGGAATTATATATATATATATATATATATATATATAACTATTATTAATAGAGAAAAATGCTTCAAAAAGTGCAATGAATGCTTACGATTATTTCTTCACGTGTTATAAAAATACTTTGATCATTATTAATTGGATAGAATCTTACTTTTTGAAAGATGTAAGGCAGTTTGCACAACATTTCATAACTTTCTAATCAAATGCCATGCAACTTATAAAGCAGTTGAATATCTTATATTAATATATTGTCAAGTTTAATTATTGACGTATCTTATTTGTATAGTTGTCTTATTGTATGCTTTGCAAATATACTTGTAAATATATTATATTGCATGTGTAGGAGTACAAATATTTCAGAGAAAAGATTAATTATTTTATAATCCAAGTTGAATATTTGAAATTCTTGTGCATTTTTTTATTAAATTTGATAATGCTATATATATAAAGAAAAGACTGAACTTGAATTATTCTTCCTTACCTTATTTGTTTTTATTCATTGTCATCCCTGCACCTACCATAATTTTGTAGAATTACTTCCTACCACATAAAACAATAGAGTATTTATATCTTCTAAAAAAGAGTTGAATGAATAAAGGTCCATTTTTAATTATATGTAGAAAGTTTCTTATTGTTTCACATTGGCTTTCATTTCCATTATGTAACATGTTTCCTTAAATGTATATTGTGCATTCATTTTTCTCCTTAGAGACATAATAATATAATGAAGTGATAAATAAGTTAGATGTTCTTTGTAAACACATTGTAACAATCATCTATGTCATCCTATAATTATGTCTTAGATTTCTTTAAATTGCATTCAAAGTCTAAACAAAGTAACCAAAGTAAATAAAGTGACAATATTTCATAACTTTAAGATGTTGCGTTTAATAATAAAATATGTTAAACATCAAATATTAAATTTATTTTCTTATTAAGTACAAAATAAGTTATTGGAGAGTATGTTGTCCCATGTTATTATTTGCCTAAAAATTCAAATTTACACATTATTTTTTAATTATTTATTATTCTTGTCTTGCCTATGGTAATTAATTATGAGTTTAGCCAAAAATAAAGGAACATATCTAATTTTTTCCTAATCATGGTTTAAGCTTCCACTTTATTTGTTCCAAAAAAATTGTAATTTGTGCCATTCTTGGTTTATATGTACCTTATCTATTAATAGTATTTATAAATGCATAACAAGATTAAAAATATTTTTACAATAGATACCAATTTTATATTAAAATAATTCAGGTATATGAATACAATAAGAACCATAATGTTTAAAAATGCTACTATTCAATTTAAACTCTAAGCAATGTAAAATTCTTCGTTTATCTTGTCACATCTATCTTTTATTATCTTATTGTTTTGATAATAATAGATCTTAAAATAAAATAAACAATTAAATCCTTTTATTTTGTTCTTTCTTCAATATATTTGGATTTTGTTTACTAATAAATTTTCTTTCATTTAATCAATTTAGCATTCCATGACTTTGAGTTTTTATATTTAAACATCTATCATTGTTATGTACTTTCAAATGTTAAGTCTTATAAATAGTATTCTTTTTGTCATCATGTAGATTTGTTTCCTCACCAATTACTTCTTCTTGTTGGACACATTGTATAATTTCATGTGTTTGTCTTCTTTATTGTGCAATAATTTGTTTCTTTTGCATTCAACACAATGTTCAATATTTTGTTGAATTTCTTTATGTATTCTTTTTTTTTGTTTCTAAAGGATATTATTTGATTTGGTTAACAAAATTATTTTGTTTAATTTTTAAAAATTAAATTAAATCCAATATTTTGTGGTTTTCTTTATGTGTGTGTGTGGGTGTAAATATATTATAAATTAGAATAAATAAGTATTTGTTAATCTAACAAAAAAAAGTTGATAATTTTTTATTATATTAACTTTCAAATAGAATCTAGTTTAATAATATTAAAACATCAAAAAAATCTAAATTATAATAATAAAATATTTTTTTCTTATTGTAGGCTATTACAAACCATTGTTTTTAAAAATTAAAAAATAAAATCTAAGAATATTTAGTATCATCTTCTTGTATTTGATCTCACACACACACACATACACACACACACATATATATATATATATATATATATATATATATATATTAAGATCTTTAAATTTTATAATATATAAAATAAATTACTATATAAAAATGAAGTGGATTATAATTCTTATTAATAGTGTTAACACACCTTCAAAGAATAAAAAATCTATTATGATATACAATTAGGTCTGTGTTGTGCAAAAGAGATATGGAAATCTAAACTTCTAAATTACACAAATCTTTGAGTATTTTATTTTTAAAGGCTTTGTTTTTCTACATAATCTCTTGTTTCTTTTATGCATAATTTATATTACACAACATAGTCTTTTACTTATCAATAGCACCTTTAAATCTATATAATACAATTAGAAATATATACATATAGTTAAAATTTATAATTTTTTTAAAAAAAAATAATTAAAATTTTAAAAATTGAATGTAAATTTCAAAAATATGAAAATTTGGAATGAAATTTTATTATTTCTTCACTTTAAGATGTATGGATTATATACTTCATAACATAGAAACTAAAATCAAATGATATTCTTTACATTAAAAAAATTATCAATTTCTTATTACTCAAAGATATTTTTTTCTTACATAGCTTCACTTGGCTTCATACACATGTATATTTGTTTTAAAGATAATATACAATTGAGAAGAAATAGAGCAAAAACTTCAATAACATATTTATTTCTAATTAAGCACCAGTTTGAGCAAAAATAAACCACAAATCAAGATGATTTATTAATTAAGAAACAAAACCATCAAACCCTCATTTGCAAGTGTATTAAGTAGATGCATCATCATTTCGAGATAAAAATTAAATAAAATTATAAATCATAAAAAATTGAGATTTTTTTTAATTCTTTTTTAAAGCTATATATTTCTACCTGGCCTTTTTGTTTCTATTTTCACAACAATCAATCAATGAACAATGCCTTCGATTTTTATCAGTTTTGTGAGAGAAGGTCTCTTTAAGTAACATTGACTTATTGTTTGGAACTTATGTGTCCTAAAAAGAAAGTGGAATCAAAAAAATTCGAATATAAACTCACTTTAAAAAGTTAAATTTTGTTTCCATAAAGGATAGTATTATATCATAGATAAGAATGTTACATACTAACCGTTTCAACTTACTCTCCTTTAAAAAGTTACAATTGTTTTAAACATGTATATAAGTTTATTTAGATCATGTAAGACTTTATTTTATATTGAGTAATACAAGATCATAAATTGTTTGTTAAAACTCTCTTAGAAAATCAAATTTCCTATTTCTTTTTCTTTAGCCTTTGGGATCTTTAGTTAATTATTCTTTCTTAAATAACATTTTATTAATTTAAACCGCAAAGTTGTATTTGGAGCAATGTGACCTAATTTTTATTATATTCTAATATTTCTAAACCTTCAATCACATTTATTGCTTGTACTTGCCCAACTTTTTTTTTCCTAGTTGCCTCTCTTTATCTTTGTTAAATGATACTTTAAAAAAATATATGTATCTTTTGACTTATTCAATTGTCTACAAGTTTCTTTTGCTACAATTACACAATAATTTTGTTTTTATTTTATGTACTATAACTTTTTCTTATAAGTCTTTTATGGTCTATATTTTACTACCAAAAAAATAGATTTTTATTCTTCTTTATTTTATTTATTGTACCAATTATTTTTTATTATTATTTTATTTATTGTACCAATTATTTTTTATTATTTTTTATTTTTGTTAAAAATTTCTATCATATTTTATTTTAAATTTCTACTTTTAGACATAATTTTACTACATATTATTAATATTACTTATTGAATCTTATTTCTTTATTTTGTATGATTCTTCTATAATATTTTTGATTAATTTTTACTTCCAA